ACCCCACAGAACAAAGGTCTCCCACTAGCAGTACTCCTGGTAAGATTCTGGTTTTCCTACCTGATGATTTACTGACTTCTACGCTGAACAGAATCTCTTCCTGTATGATTTAGCCCCCCCAAAAGTCAGGCTCAACAGTTACTTATTAAAGAATATACCAACATCAAACATCCTCTTCAAAAGTGCAGAGCTCTCATGCATGTTAAAGGAAGTAGCAAAGAGCCAGTACAAGGTATTTTTTGAGGAGAGTGTTTTGATCTCTCTTTTCATATGAAAATACTGTCGTACACAATTCTCCCAAAAAAATATTCACTTGTGAAGGGAAGAAGACATTGCCATTTCCTCTTATGCGAGTTTGGGTGGGATTTCTCCTACATTCAACAGTCTGACTGGTGAGAAGGACAGAAACTCTCATTGGTGACTTCTGCTATGAAAAAATCCTTGAAAAAAAACCATCCCAGATCTGTATCAGGGCTGTAAGCTCTTCAGATTTCACAGGACCTGACCAGCACCTCTCTCTGCTCTGAGTTGCCTTAAGCTGATTCTGAGGATGTGACACTTTAGCCTCTGCACCACATTTTATTTTCTAATGAATCAACTTGTCGTTTAAGTCTTACCTGGATTTCAAACCCAAATGTCTCTTTATCTTCTTTCAATATAGCAACGAGGTGTCTGTGGGAAGAACACAGAATTCTGTGTGAACACAGGGTGCTGTGCTCTGTGCACTCATGTTTCCAACCAAAGCAGTCATGTCCCCACCACGTCCCTGTGCCTGTGGTGGTGCCCAAACCTGCACGTCCCAGGTGCTGGGAATCCCTCTCACTTGTGCTGGGCAGAATCCCAGGACATATATTTCATGCAGAATCAGTCACTAACAGTGACTCTAGAATCACAGAATCTTACCTTTGTGGCTTGGAGGGGTCACCCAAGGAGCTGGATCTGGCTAAGGCAAGCTGTGACCAGAAACAGGAGAGGAAAGGGGTCAGTAGGTTCGTGGTTCTTTTAGGCACACAGCTAAAACCAGCAATTTAGAGCAAAACTAAAACCACTTTCCAGCAACGTGGCCTCTGCCTTGGTCAAATGAGAGCCTGAACTTTCCCCAGGGGGAAGAGCAGCTGGAGGTCAAAGCCACCTCTCAGGTGCTGGTGGTGAGCCCAGTGCCCCAGTCACGTCCCTGTCATGCCAGGAGCTGCCCTTACTTTGGCACCTTTCCTCTAGAAATCTGTGGTCGTTTATAAACTGAACACCTGCCAGGAGAGGCACAAAGCACCCAGAGATGCAGGGGAGTGCAGACAGTGAGCTCTGCAGGGTCTCGTGGTGCCTGCACGGCCTTTCCCAGCCAGGCACAGGCATCATCATCCAGGGAGACCTGTGCCTGGAGAGCTCTCTGGGAAAAGCCAGGATCAGTGCTAAAGAATGGTTCTTCCCATCAAAGTGAACCATGAGTAAGGAATTCCATTATCAGTGAAACAGTTGATACAGCCAATGCCTCAGGCTCCAGCAGGATGGAAGGGTGCCACAGTGTGCCCTCCTGCAGGAACACCAACCTCATGGACAGGTGCTGCTGGCAAGGGACAAGGAGAGGAGGGAGAGCCCACACGTCCAATAACACATCGGGGAGAAGGTGGGAGGGCTGATAGCAGGACACACTGCTGATGGGGCCCTGTGCTGGGGACAGTCCCTGCCTGTGTCCTCGGCCCTGATGTGTGTTGTAAATCAGCTTTATCAGCCACAGTCACATCGCAGCTGTGACCATCAGCTTCCCCTGCAGCGGCCACTGCCACCCCAAGGGCTGCTCCACCACGAGGTGCCACCCAACAGCAGTGTCCCCAGGGCTGGCCTGGCTCTGGCTTCCCTTATCTCCTCACACACACCAGGAAAGGATTGAGTTTATGCAGCTGGAAAAATCAAAGCCTTAAGTGCACAGATACTCTGCACGACTTTTCTGATCCTGCTTTCAGATTATCGTGTGTCTCAAACACTTTCTATTCAGGCTCCTTCATGTCAGACAAAGAGTCCAGAGCTGGACGTGCTCAGCTGATGATTTACAGCCACAACAAGACAGTTCTGTGGGAATCCTGTGGCAAGCAGTAGAAATGTGCTGTTCTTTCTGTGTCATTCTGGGGGAAAGCCCAGTGACAGAGACAGCCCCATGAGCCCCAAGAGCTGCACAGCAACACTCCTGAATCCAGATGGAAACAGCGGTGGGTGCTCTGTCAGCACAGCAGCAGCCAGGACACTACGCAGAGGCAAACACGTTTAAAGGAGCACCCAGACAGCACCAGCCCCTCTGGCTCTCAGCACTGCTGGACACGGAGAGGAGCTCAGCTAGGGCTGGACCTTGGCTGCTAACGCTCTCCACACCCCAAGCCCCACAGACAGGACACCCATCGCTCGCTCCTCGCAGAGCCTCCCTCTCTGCCAGTGCTGCAGCGACTCCCTGGCCACCCCAAAACCAGCCCAGCTAACAGCACCCTGTGGTCACCCCCTCCGGGCAGGGGCAGCCACCAGCCTCCCCCAGCCAGCCCATACCTGCTTGGGCCCGCGGGGCAGCGTCCCCACCGTGTTGGCCATGTGCTGGATCCTCCTCCTGTCCATGGGCAGAGCTTGTTCCCCGTCAGCAGGACCAGCACTGGGGCTCTCGGAGCTGGCACTGTGGTTCTGCTGCAGGAACCTCCTGAGGGCCATGGCCGGGAAGTGCCACACACCACCCACTGCCACCGAGCAGGGCGAGAGCGGAAAGGCTTCCGCGTGACCTGCGGTTGAGGTGCACGTTACACAAATCCCTCCTCGCCGAGCCCCAGCCTCTCGGGGTGCCTTGTGCTCACGGGGAAGTTAAGAATCGGGTTTGGCAGTTACAGAAATCTGCTTAATTTTTCCATTCCTGCACACGATAATTCTCACCAACAGCTGCCGCTCTGCCAGGATTTGTCCTCACGGCCCTGCATGCCTTGGGCACTCGCCTGAACGCAACCTGCTCCTTCTCTGACTTGCTTGGCATCCCTGTCATCCCTCAAATCACCTTTTGGCAACGATGGGAGAAGAACACTGCCTTTGGCACAGTTGTGGATGCACACGCTGAGTCCACTCAACCATGTGGGTGAGGTGGCCACGACCCCCTGGCTGCTCTCCAGACCCTCCCAAGGCACTGACATGTCCCCCCAGCAGCCAGGGAGCCACCAGGGCAGCTGAGACATCGATCCACGCTGGAGCAGAGTGATCCCAGCCAGGGTCTCACCCTGGTCTGCACCAGCCAGAGCATGGACTGACTGTCCAGCTGTTGCCCAAAAATCAAGTTTTATGGGGGATTCCTCTCTTGCAAAGGATTTTGTCCCAGCAGCAAACATGTTTAGGAGGATTTATGACTCTAAGAACTTCTGGTTGGCTGTTTTCTCTCTCCAGTTATCATCCAACCTGTTGTTAGTCCAGTATGGCTTTGAATTACCTTCAGATTTCCTGCTCCTGGATGTGATGGAGAAGTGCAGGAAGCAGCCCCAGGCCTGGGTGGGACACAGGTGGCTGTCTGTCCCCACTGCCCCTTGTCCACAGGTCAGCAATTGCAGGAGGACAGGCAAGCAGCAGGGGAGCCCTGGGCAGTCACCCCAGCCAAGTCCTAAACACCCAGGGAGCAGGGGCCAGCCCTGGCTGCCCCAGCCATCAGCACTGCTGGCTGGCAGTGGCCCGGAGCC